CCCATCTAACCTGTAACGAGTTGGGTGAAGGCTTGAATTGCCCCCGTCCTCCTTGGTGGTATGGAAATTACAGAGGCAAAAGCCAGGTGCAGAATTGCCTGAATATTGAATAAAGAATTGCTATGTAGCTCTTTTACTGGTGGATAGAAGAATTACATCCAACTTTCTGACAGGTTTTCTTACAAAATATGTGTCATTTCATTCAATAATGTTAGGGATTACTTTATTTCATCAATTTCAAAATGTACATTTTCTCCCACATTTTTATATTTTTAAAATCAGGGATACTCCTTACAAATGATGGCATCTCGGAATTGGCCAGATGGCAGTTAGGATATAGCTGTCATCTGCCTGCACACGAGTGAACTTGGTCATAGCTGTCTATATTGTTGTCACTTCGATTGAATTGTGTGCATTTTTGGTATTATATGAGTTGAGTTCAATTGCCATTTAACATGTCTTCAGAAAGATTACCCTATAATTTGACATTGAAACACAATGTACATAATACAGCATGGAAACAGAAGTGAGGCACAACTTTTAGATACAGGGGAAGCCGATATTCACCGTTGAAGAAATGGCTGCAGTTCCTTGTTTCCTGCAGAGCCATAGCCATGTGCTTCACCACACCTATAAAAGAAAATACCTGAGTAGAAGAGGCTCTGCAGTGCTTCTGTTTCTGAGGTCTCTGCGAAAGCATTGCATATCACGTGCCAAGCCAGAAAGCCAGCATTACAACTTGTGAAATGAGCATCAGTGGCTAGGAAGAATACCTCTGAGGTACTCTTAAGGAATGCTGACTGTATCCCCAACATTCTTGATGAGCCAAGAATTGAAATAATGCAAAAGTGTGTTTGGATTTGAAGTAATTCAGAAGTTTAAGACAATTCAGGACTATATCCACCAATTGTGCATAATTTTTTCCATGTGCAAGAATAATGCATAATAAAAATTTATACCCGAAGACAGAAAGTTCTTTCAGCATTTTATAACATAAAAATTTAAAGTAGTAAGAAAACATTTTGATGGTTTAATTAGTGATGTTTTTATTTTCAGTAGCATATCTCATCTGCGATTGTTTGATTTAGTGACTTGCTAATTTGTTATTGAAACTATAAATATAATTCTTGGTGTAATTATTGTAGGTGCCTAATGGATAAGAACTTTGTTAGGATTGGGAAGTGGTTTGTCCGACCCTATGAAAAGGATGAAAAACCAGTCAACAAAAGGTGAGTCTTATGCTTTTAGTTTTTGTTCCTTTCGCTTGAGCACAACTGTATTTTGGGAAGAGGTGGGTGGGGGAAGCCGCTTATTTATTTATTTTCTAATAATCTTAGTAATTTAGATGTCTTAAAATAGATTGCTGGATCACATTTTATTAAATATTCTATGATTAAATTTTTGTGGAATATTGGAAATTGGACTAGAAAGATTATCAATAACCCATGTCTAAGCCCCTTCTTACCATACTCTTTGGAATTAAAATATTCTATTTTGTTATTTTCATTGTCCTTTTTTTAATCTTTCTTCCTTAAAGTGTTATGGCATAACATTAAAAATAGTCAACTGAATTCAAATGGTGATAATTTTTATAGAATTGATTGATGCCCCTTAAAAGTCAGTGAATACTTCTTTGAGAATTCTCAAACTAGGACTGTGAATTACTTTTCTCAATAATCCTAAACTTTTAAACATCATTTATTGTATGCATGGCCTTAAAGGCAGTCCTTTATACTAAACAAGCATGGAATTTTAGATCACTCAAACCAGGATCAAAAACCAGAGCCTTCAAAGCCAAATGTTTACTCCAGTTACCTCTGAACACAGCATAGACTTAATTGGAGTCATAAGTTGATTGGGTGATTATTTCATTTCTGAAGAGGAGTGCACACAATCTCAATTCTGTTTTACTGTGTGTGAACTTGCCCCAAGCTAAGGATTCCAACTCCTGGCTGCCGAGAAGAGCTCTTGAAGCCTTACATGGTAGCCATAAGGTTAGATCTTTTTAGGTAGTTTGCCACAATTTTGGCTGGCAGCTCCTGCCTCTTGTGGAACCTTTACTTTCTTAACTTTCTTGTGCCTACTGGGGATTTAATTAGCGGTAGCAGCCTTCTCTCCCAACCTGTATGTCTTAAAGCTTTGATGAAGTGGTTGTGGAATCTCATTAACCAAGCCTAATTTATGAAAATTGGGATTTCCTTTTTCAAATCAGGTAAGTTAGGGACTGGCATTTAAACTTTTTTTTTCTTCCAAATCACCATAAACTTCTTTAAAATATTTTCCCTTTTTTGTACGTTTCAAATCCTTTAGGCTTTATAAAAAAAAGTTTGTTTTTTTTAAAGATTTTATTTATTTATTTGTCAGATATATAGAGAGTGAGCACAAGCAGGGGGAGCGGCAGGTAGAGAGAGAAGGAGGCAAAGGGAGAAGCAGGCTCCTGCTGAGCAAAGGAGCCTGATGCGGGATTGATCCCAGAGCCGAAGGCAGAAACTTAACCGACTGAGCCACCCAGGCACTTCCCCCCAAAAATGTATTTAAATAGGAAGTAGGGGTTGTATATAACGCAGTTTGCCTGAAAAGGATAATAAAACTTTTAAGGAGTACTGGTGTGTATGGGTGTGTAAAAGTGTGGTTTTGTTGACAGATGCTTTGATGGACAGGAATTTTTTTTCCTTTATTTATATTGATTTGGTCTAAGTAATGCATTTGTTCCATGGACATAATTAATCTTAGTGTTTCCTTAAATTTACAGAAGATGTAGATTTTCTGTTAACTTGTTTGGGGTTCACGTGGGCTGAACTGGTGGTTCAGGTTTGGGTTTTTATGTTGATAAGTGAATGGTTACATGTGGAGTTGCTTTGGCACAGTGATCTTTACCATTCATTCCTGTGTGCCTCTCCATGCTCCGTGGATGTGCTTACAGCTGGTCACTGATGGTGAACTAACAGAGCCAGTCCTAAAACTTTTGAACAGTAGGTCTGGGTACTTAGTATGATGATTTCACAGTAATTTGGGGATGAAGGGGAGATGTGGAAATAAAATAGGGATTGAAGGAGTAGCGGTTAGTATTTTAATGGTAAAAACTAATGTTTGAGGTCATATGTAGTTAGCAAATCTATTTTATATAGCCTCTGTATATCTTTGCACTGGAATTTACATCCCAGAAATCTTCCTAACTTTAGCAAATCAGATGTAAATAATACTTGTAGTATATTTAGATATTTGATTTGTAACTGGGAGCCTATTGATTTCTGAGCAATGTAATTGAATTATTTCATTATTTTTAGATTTTATCCTCATGGTTGAAAATGTAGCACTTCATTTTATTGTAGTGCAGAAATATTAATGATCTTGAAAAAACCATTTTAGGAGGTATTGTTAACAATTGACAAATTTTTAAACCAAACATTCAATTTTAAAAGTTGGCATTTGCTGGGGCGCCTGGGTAGCTCAGATGGTTAAGTGTCTGCCTTCGGCTCAGGTCATGATCTCCTGGTCCTGGGATGGGATGGAGCCCTGCGCTGGCGCTTCAGGCTCCCTGCTCACTGCCTGCCCCCCCCCCCCCCATGGGTGCTCTCTCTCTCTCTCTCCCTCAAATGAATAAACAAAATCTTTTTAAAAAGTTAGCATTTGCTGTAATAAAACTTTGTTAGGCATAATGTTTTTTTTCCACTTTTATTCTCTGAATGGAAAATAGAGCCTCTTTGTTGGATGCTGAAACAGAATCTTAGTGGTCAAGTCATTTTGGATGGACAGAGTGATGCTGTAGAGGAGGACATTTAGATTTAGAAGATTAGGGATAACATGCCATGCCTCTCTTTAGAAGTTCTATAAGCTTTTGGACAAGTTGTTTAGTTTTTCTGAGCTGAACTTTGTTTAACTCAGTTGATGATAGTAATTACTCCCTTAAAGGGTTATTGTGAAGATTAAATGAGGTAATTTATGTGGCTAGTTTATACTTTAATTGAGAAAAAGCAAAAGTGCTAAACAACTTTTATGTACAAATTAGTATTTTTCATGTCATTAGATACAAATAAGAGAAATATACTTTAATGAATAGCATTCTGGGGCACCTGGGTGGCTCAGTCGGTTGAGCGGCTGCCTTTGACTCAGCTCATGATCCCAGGGTCTTGGGATCGAGCCCCGCATCGGGCTCCCTGCTCAGCGGGGAGGCCTGTGTCTCCCTCTCCCACTCCCCCTGCTTGTGTTCCCTCTCTCGCTGTCTCTCTCTCTCTCTCTCTGTCAAATAAATAAATAAAAATCTTTAAATTAAAAAAAATTATAAAGAATAGTATTCTAAGTATAAAATTAAGTAGGTCTAGCACATCAATACTTTTGTTTAATAGAATAAAAATATGTTTTAACACACAGTATATTTTATGTAGCTAAAATAACTCTAATAGTGTTGATAAATATATTGATGAATAGGTTTCACCTATTGGATTAACAGCATATGATTTCCTGAGCTATAATTTCTCTCTCTATTGATAGCAAAACTAAATCATTTGTTGGTGGACTCTAAAAGAGTTCTTAATGTTTGATACGATATGATGATCAGGATAATTTTACAATTTATTTTAGAAAAACACATTTAATTTTAGAAAAATATATATAAATTTGGAAGGCAGGTCCAGGAAGATAAAAGAAATTTATTCATGTTGTCTTTTTCTTTCCTTTTCTTTTTCTTTCTTTCTTTCTTTCTTTCTTTCTTTCTTTCTTTCTTTCTCTCTCTCTCTCTCTCTCTCTCTCT